CGTTTCATGCTGCGTGTTGCTGAACCGATCACACACAAACTAACACAGAACGACAATGATGAATGGAATGCCAGAAAATAAAGGGACGTCAGCGGACTGGTCGGCTGATAAAGCGTGACTGTGAGCACTCTGTGTACACTGAAAGCGCACGGTGGTACCTCTGGCCGGAAAATGTCGTTGGCACAGACGGGAGTAGAGTGGTTCGTTTCGAATACTAGAAAAAAACTAACCTTTTTACCTTTAGTCCTTCTGATTCTGAGTTATATTTTAAAAAAAACGACAGTTTATCAGACCGGAAAGAATCGCTAAATTCTAAACAATTGTTTGCAGCGGAAAGTATAGCAGCAAATTGGGTGCATGTGTATCGTCCAGTGCGAATGAACTGAATTCCTGTGGATACACGCTCTCTTAGGCTGTAATCATATGTATCTTCTATCAACAAACAAACGTATTACGATGTGACAGGAGGGGCAGCAAGGAAAACCACTCTATGAAGGTAGACAGATGTAACGTAGGCCTGCGGACACGTAAGAAAGGTGCAGTAAAAGAGAAAGGAATGGCTTGCTAGGTAGAAAGCGGAAACTCAGGTTGTATCGTACAAAAGACCTGAAATGCCGTTTGCGAGAAGCAATATACTATTGTGGCTGCCTCAACAATGGAACGATCAAGATGCAAAGAGGACGCAACTGTAAAGAGACTAACTCACGTATAGGCTACTTGGAAGCCAGCAGCAACAGCAGCAGCAACTCAAGAACTGAGCGCAAGAAAACTGAAAGCGTCATTGCAAGATGGCAACGGAAAACAACACGAAGCCTACAGCAAGAGCAACTGGAGACCTCAGAGACAGCATGAACACACACATGTGAAACCAATGATCCACGAGATGCAAAGTAAACTTTCTTACGCAACGGGGTGACAAAGGAGAAAAGTAATGACGACGCAACAAAAAGCAAAATGAAGCGAAAATGAGCACGCACACGTCAAAGCGCCGCAGGGCAGTATAAAAGCAATAATAAATATATACCAAAAAAGTCTCATACATTGAAGCATCCAATGAAGCGGAAAGCTAACGCACAAAATTCAAATATTTGGATTCACGTTAGTAATTCTGATATGAATACATTGAATTTTGTTAATAAATCAATGTTCTGAAATTTGTGCCCAGTCTCTCTCTCACTGGAAGACTCATTGAATCAGATTGACCGCGTGAAACGTCAAAAAATAAGAATACACAGTATTGGCGCACCGAATTATTATTCCCGAAGCTAGACCCATCGTTTAGTGCATATTTTATATTGGAAAACATATTTATTTATCACTGCGTTCATCAAATTAAAATAGTTTGGGATCCTGAAACAATTGGGAACCAACGGTGAGTGAAGTGCATCGTAGACGCGGAGGCGATTGAAGGCAGAATGCAGTCGGTAGTTCTGTCTTCGACGTTGTGAGCGAGGAGTACGATTGGTGCGCTTGGGACTAAGATCGACTTCAGATGTTCTGCGATCGAGAAGGAATTTGTGCAAGGAAGGTGCACGCTGGCGATGAGATAGACACTAACGTGGTCGTGAGATCACTGGCGTGTAACGATGGCGTATTTATGAGAGTCAGGTGAACACATATCAAAGGCATGACTGGGCTGAATGTTAGATTACGACACTAGTGCTATGGTCAGGTGTATAGCCGCTGTTGATCTTGAAAGGGTGGCTGTAACTAACGCTCGTGCGCGTAAACAAAGCCAGGCCGCTGGCCCCACGCAC